TGCTCGAGAGGGAAGGTATATTTTTTGAGCCAATCCAGTAGAGGGAGGTCCATACCGGTACCAGCATTTGGATATTGTGGGGCGTGCTATTGGAATAATAAATTCAATTAAAGAGAGGCGAAGCCGGTAGAGTAAGAAAAAAAGATTGCTCGCTCGCTTACCGTATGAGTATCCACAAAACCAGGTATTAAAAATTGTCGTTTGGATAACCGAACAATCTTAGATTGAAAGTTCACTTAGTTTAGTCAGCATTCCTTAATTTTCCATGTAACTCGTTACCTTTGCACCAGCGGTCTCCCATTTATTCAGAATGCTATTTGCATTTTGATCAGTAAGATTTTTTTCCACGAATGCAATTTTACCAAATTCATCAATTCCCAACAAGGCACTTAGGATGATTTCGAGTTTTGTGAGAGACAAAGAGTGGATCAGAGTACCGTGGAAAACTAGGGAAATCGTAGTAGAGGTCATTCTTAGGTAAAATCCTATACAGGCTAACGATTAGCCTTATATATACATACGCCTATCACTTTGGGATATTTTATACACAATCAAATATGTAGCCTATCTTAAATTGATATTCAATCCGATTCAGGAGTTGCCACATTCCTAAAATAGTAAATTTAATATGCCATCATCACGTGATTTATAATTCGGTTTTCTTATTTAACACATCAATTTGGTTAATCAGCCAAAGGGCAAATTGATAAATTCTTACCTATAAAGTTGAGCGACAGTTGAGAAAGAAGAAACCAGAACCTTTGACCTTTGACATAAAGAAAACAAGCACAAAATAAGTTATTTAGTGTTGTTATCCGTCTCTCACTTTTGAATTTACACCTGAAGAAAGCATAATAAACCTTTCAAAAAATGTATGTATTAAATTTCCGTCTTTGAGACTGACCTCTATTCAATTTGGGGTGTTTCCTTGACGAAGATTTCGGTCACCACAAAGCGTCACCTGCTGTTAGTTTGAGAAAAACTTGAGAAAAAAAGTTGTTTGAGCGACCGTTATCTCAAAGGGACCACTTGCAAATGGTGCCGCAGGTTTCTCGCTTTCTACGAATTTGCAGTCATAATTAGCCCTCCTGTTATTGACAATTCACCCTCTATAAAATGTGAAGACTAATTTTATCACTGACACGAAATTGGACCTTGGCTTTTTTTTCTCAAATTTAGGACTACCACAACCGAAGGTCAATATGACCCATACGTACCCAAGGCTGGCGGGCAACCAGCTAAAACGGCACAAATCCAAAAAAAGATTGATGATACTGTAGATACTATGCGGGACAATATCAACCGTATTGCAGAACGAGGTGAAAGGTTAGATGCCCTACAGGACAAGACCGGTTAGCATAAGTTTTATTATTACCATGTACATGTCAACTGTACTGCGTTTATTAACCTAATCTCATTGACTCCTTCAATTCATCAGAGAATTTGTCTGTGTCGGCACAAGGCTTCCGTCGTGGTGCCAACAAAGTGCGAAAGCAAATGTGGTGGAAGGACATGAAAATGAGAATCATTCTCATTATCGTAGCACTCGTTTTATTGCTGGCTATCATTAGTAAGAATCTTATGTATTCATTACTTGTTTTCAATTCATATCCATTAACTCAACTTTATCTTTTCTCTCCCTTGTGCAGTACCAATTGTTGTCAGTAACAAACACTAAAGTCCGTGATCGTAACACCATGCAAAGAATTTTCATTTGCTCGTTACACTCTTTCCATCCTCTTTCATTCATATCTCCTATTTCCATATCTCTCTTCCCTATACATATATATAATATGAATATTTTTAACGAATTGGCTAAAGTCTTTAAAGCGAAAAAAAAATTTGATTTCCATGAATTAATGTTCTTTATAAAATGACTTGTATTTTATATTTCAAGCTATCCTTTATCGATTTTATTTTGTTGAAAGAAAAAAGAAATTCTGTAAAAAATGTGCATTCCGTTATCGTTTCTATTTATCCTTTCTACGCATTGAATTTACTTTTACAAATAAATATCGATATTTGGAGTTTACTCTGTTAGTTCTTTCATTACTGTCTCCCGGACTAATTATGCGTAAAGCATCGTATGCTTAGTGGTGTCATTGATCATTATGTAACACGGATTTGCGTAATCCCTGAGACTGGTACAAGAAGCTCATTATTCTTAATTGAAACCAGGCGACTAAAGTTCGAAACGAGTTTCTGTAACATATTCTATAAATATTTACTCTGTTTACTTTTTTTAACTTCTCCCCTTAATCTTATTGTATTTTTCGAAACCTAATATGAACTGTACTGTACATACGGGGATGATACAAAAATATCTCAAACCTGGATTGTCATTAAAATTAATTACATGTGCACCAGAATGCAACAGGTATCTCTGAAAAGAAAACTTAATTGTGGCAGAGCTGATTATTATTTATTTATTTGTATACTATACAATGTAACGTTCGATTGTTTTTCTTTTGTCCCACAAATTCTAACGTGAAAAGACACGCCATTAGCAAATCTCTAAGACAAAAACATCTTGATTCTTAAAATCTTAAAATAAAAAAAGATTCTTTTTTTTTGATTATTTTTAAAAATAAAAATATTTACTGTCTATATTTATTCAAATATATAAAATGGTTATTGATATGAAAAATTTTTTTCTAAAAAAAAACAACTTGTATATTAATATTAATATTAATAGATATATCGTATTGTTATCATTTGTTTTGTACAGTAAATTTGCTTTTCAGATAAATAAAAATTCATTGATTTTTTTTAAAAAAACAATTACGGCAATTAAAAAAATTATAGATTCTAATAACCTTTAAAAATATTGGGTGAATAATATTATTCTTTGCATTTTAGTATATAACAATTTAATCGTTGAAATAATATTACTTATCAATGTAAAAATACTTTAATTGAAATAATTTGTAAATATTAAAAAATTGATTTTTGATTTTTTTAGATTCATATTTATGAAATAATGATATGCGTTTTTAATTTTTAAACGATTTTTTTAATTAATTGAAAATAAGAACTTTAAAAATAATTGAATTGTTTTTAAAAATAAAACAATAATTGGAAATTAATAATTATAAAATTGATTTTTTTAATTATAATTTTTATAAGATACTTTTTTAACAATGATAGTAAATATAAATAATAATGTTATTATTTAAACAATAATAATATAATATATATTATATTATTATATTAAAATTAAATTATTCTACTTTGCAAAATATCTATTAACAAGTTATTTTTGGATTTGTATATGATCCTTAAATCTTTAATATCAAGATTACTATATTGGCTATATGATTTAGCTATTTATTAACTATTTTATTACAAGAAAATAAATTTATTAAGCTATTACTGTATAATATTAACTATCTTAAACTTTTCAAATTTTAACTCTTTAGATGTAATTATAAAAAATAATAACAATAATTTCTTTTCAAGATTAAATATTATAATTATAGTTTTAAAAAATCAAAATCAATTTATATTTAAACTGTTACTCTAATATAAACCTATAAATCTAAAAGATAAAAAAATTTTTATTTTTAAAAAAAGACAAGAAAAGAAAAAAAACTAGTTAAAAAATGTTTTAATAAATAAAAATCTTTCAAAATCAACTTTAATCTATTGGAATAAATTCTTTATTACTATTTACAGTTGGATAAACTATTTAATTTTTATTATTTTATTATTAATCAAGAACATTTAAGATATGTATTTATAATAAGACTTATATCCTTAAAAAATTATTGCTTAAAACAAGTCTTATATTTAAAAAAAATTATTATTTAAAATTTTCTTAAGATAATTATTAACAAAAAAAGTTTTTTATTAAATTAATATAAAATTTCTTTTAATTTTGAAAAAAAAAATTAATATAAAAGAAAAAAGAAAAATACAATAATATTTCTTAACAAGACAGATATTTTATAATTCTGTTTTTTTTTATATATTATATTTAATAGCATTATTAGATTTGTTGTTATATATGATAAGGCATATGAAAATTATATATTTTGTTTATATTTCTTGTTATATATAAATTAATTAATTAAAATCATTATTTAAAAATTTCAATATAATCAAAAATTCAAGATTAAACTAAGATAACAAAATTTTTAAAAAAATTAGAAAAATTTTATATATTTAAAAAAACAAGAGAAAGATTTGAAAAAGATTAAAAAAGTTTTAAAAACCCATACTTGTTTTTTTTACATGTTTTTTTTCTTGAAATATATATTTTTTGAATTGACAAAAAATCAATAAAAAGATTTTTTTATTTAATAAATAGAATTTATTTTTAATATATACAGTATATATTAATATTATATCTATAAATTAATAGTACAGTAGTTAATATTCTTTAGTTTAAATTCAAAAATATTAATTTAATTTTAGATAAAAATAATTAAATAAAATTAATATAATATTTGATATTATGACCTGTTAAATATTACTTCTTACAAGAAATTATTTTCATATATTAATTTAATAAGCATTAAGATTTTATTTCTTAGAAAAAATTTATAACATAATTATTTTATTATTATTTTTTTTTGGTAGATAAATATCATTTCTTTATTTTTATGGTATTAATAGATACACTTGTAAAAGAAACAATATCTCTTGGATACAAAGCATACAACAAGTTAAATGCCAACCTGTCTACACATCTATACCTAGTTAATATTAAAAAGAAATTTTAAAACAATATTATATGTACTAAATATAGCTGAATAGCAGCTATGCTTACTTACTCTGAATTTTTTGTTAAATATAAATTAAATAAGAAGTAAAAGAAAATTGAAAAAAAAAGAAAAAATAATTTTATATTTGATGCTATACAAGTAAGAAATATAATAAAACTAGTTATATAATTAAGGATATTTATTTGGCACACTACTCTAATAATTCCATTTTGTTTGAGTATATTGAAAAATATATTGCTTTGATTAGTTAGACTACTGTTTAAAGTATATAATAGTGATGATGACATGTCTTCTTGATAGCTACCAGTATGTGATAATAGTAATTAATTGGTTAAATAGTTATTTGAATATATGGTAATAACACTAATTATATAATTGAGAATACTTATTCGATGTGCTACTCTAATAGTTCCAATTTGTTTTTGATTGGCCAGACTACTGTTCAAAATATATAATTGTGATAATAATATATATTCTTGATAGTTGATAGTGTATGATAATAGTAATTAATTGATTGAATAATTGATTGAATATGATAAGTTTAGATATGGTGATTGTTTATTTACAAAGTTAGAGCTATGTTGTTATTTTATGATTGATGATTGATAGAAGATGTTTGTTGTTTTGATGTTTATTAATAGAATAAGGTTATGTGATTGAATGGGTTTTCATTTTTGGTATTATTTACATTGATTTTTGATAAGTATAATAAATGTGTTTGAATATTTGATGATATGTAATTGGTTAAAGATGAAATATTGATCAGTTGCCAGAGGCAAATTGATTATGATTTTTTGAAAAAAAATTTTTAAACATGAATTTTTAATTTTTTGTAACACAGTAAAATGTATTAAGTGATAGTAGAGGTTGTTTTTTATACAGTGTGAGTCATAAATTTTTGGAATTGGTTTTTTTAATATAATTTTTTTAATAACTATTTAAATATTATGAA